AGAAAAAAGCCAGAAGTGGCGCTGTGGCTCAAGTGGTAGAGCGCTAGCCTTGAGCTGAAGAGCTGAGGGACAGCGCCCAGGCCCAGAGTTCAGGCCCACGACCGGACCAAAAAAAAACAAAAACATGCAGAATACCAGAGTTTGTATCCATTTGAACATTCATTGCTCTTAGAGACTAGTAGTGTGTTTTATATCATATTGTTGTCTGATCAGAAGTCCAAGAAAGCTATTTTGATAGTATGATTGACTTCCATTGTGTTTTTCCTACATGTTAAAGTCTTTGGCTTTAACTTTTTTTTTTCTTTTTATACAGATAAGTGTGAGTTCAAAGGTTCACTATCAGGCAGTAATGCTGGAATTACAAGCATTGAATTTGATAGTGCTGTGAGTATCTATTTTAGAGGTTTCTGAAAAATAATTTAAGATAAAATAGTTGAAGTTAAGTAAGTTACTTGGTTTCTGATGCATTGTGAATAAATGCTATGCTTAAGGGGCCTATGTAATTCCACCCACCCTAGAGAAATTGTTTAGATGAAAGTAGTATGTCAGTGTTGAACTACAGCTCATTGCCCTACGGTAATAAAGTATAAGCAACTCTTCAGCTCAAGGCGAGCGCTCTACCTCTTTAGCTACAGCACCACTTCCGGTTTTCTGGTGGTTTATTGAAGATAGGAGTCTCACGGTCTCTCTTGCCCAGGCTGGATTTGAACCGCGATCCTCAGATCTCAACCTCCTGAGTAGCTAGGATTACAGGTGTGAGCCACCAGCGCCCGGCTGCATTTTTTTTTTTAATCTTCGTGCTTGCCGGTACTCAGCAATTGATAATGTCCCTTCACTTGTGGGCTTGTGGCTTTTTCCACTAAAAGCTACTGCTCTACTGCTTAAAGCATAGCTCCACTTTTGGCTTTTTGTTGGCTAATTGGACTTGTGTTCCATCTGGCATGAGCCACTGGCCCAATTCTCATATCCCCTTCCCTCAACTTGTACTTGAGTTTTTTTCCCACTCACAGCTGGTGCCCTACCACTTGAGACACACACTTCCATTTCCTGCTTTTTTTTGCTGAATTGGAGATGAAAGTGTTACAGATTTGTCTGCCTGGTCTATCCTGAAATCTCAGCCTGTACTAGTGCCTGGTTCCATTAGCTTCTTAGGAATAGCACCTTAAATCCAATTGAGGAATAAGAAAAAGATTTAGACCTCAGGGAGGCCATGTGGAGTTCTTACTTGTTTGGTAATTTGAGGGCTCACGAAGCTTGGTGACACCAAGGTCATGCTCTTAGTGTTTTACTACTGAGCTGCAGCATTGGCCTGAGAGGTCTTTAATGACAGGGATGAGGTAACTGTCAGTGTTGAAGCAGCAGGTCTCCAGTGGCCCACATTGGGACTAAGACTGTGATGCTGAACAAGATGAACAGCCTCAGAGTGGTGGTTGGGAGAGTATGTGGGAAGAGCAGGATGCTCCTGAGGCAGTATGTAGAGACTTTAAGGGAAGGGAGTGAGGGGAAAATGAGCAGGGGAGACTTCCATTTTGAGCTTGATGTTTGCAGCATTCCGATGAAATCTGAGCTCAGGAGGAAGATCTGAACTCAAAGGAGATGGGGTGAGCTGACAGTATAGCTGATCATAGTTGGTACTTGGCTCTAGATGTTTGATTGTAGGCGTCTTTGTACCTTCTAGCACTTGAATTTTGGGAAGTTTCAAGTGAACAAAGGTCTTTGTATTATGCTACCATTTTTCCTCTATTCCTGTAGGGAGCTTATCTCTTAGCTGCCTCAAATGATTTTGCAAGCCGAATCTGGACTGTGGATGATTATCGATTACGGGTAAGAACTAGCTTAACATTACAGATGTTATTACTACCATGGGAATTGTGGTTCTTAGTGGCATTTAGCCTGCCTAAAGTGCCCCCTCCCCCCCCCCAATTTTTTTTGTTCTTTTTTGGCTGTATCTTTTCTTGTGTCAACTCAAAAAATACCAGCAGAGATAAAGATCTAGAGGAGTCGGGAGCTGTGTTAGGATGGTTTGTTGCTGGGTTTGTGGTGGTCTGATTGGGTGATACAAGGATGAAGCTAAAAGTTAACTTACTACTTAGACCTTTGTTTTCCTGAGAGAACTGCACTGGAGATTCGCAGTACTGTGCTACCCAGTACCTCAAGCTAAGAAGATCCAGATTTGAACATGCAAAGCATGAACCTGAACCCTGGAGTAGCAGAAATAGATGTTTAAATGCTGAACAACTTGCCTTATATTCTTTTCAGGGAGGACCAGGGCAATGGGCTGCATGCACAAACATTTGAGTATGGTTTTCCCTGAAGTCTAGTGCTGTACCCTAAATGTGGAAAGCACACTCAGGAGTAATAATGGTTGCAGTATAGTCCATCTTGTGTTGAACTGTAACTTAATTAACCACCCCTTTGTTTGCTGGCATTTTTAGGAGCTGTATGTTTATCTACCTTCCCCCACCTTTTTTTTGAGACAAGTCTCCCTATGTAATCCTGGCTGGTTTATATAACACCTCAGCTCGCAAAGTTTCAGTATTACAAGTGTGCATCACCACTCCAACTTAATCATATAAAATATATTTATGATGGAGACAATACTGAAATACCCAATCATACAGCCAATATTTACTAAACTTGAGTATGGTAGACTATTTTTCAGAAATAGAAGGCCTTGGTGGTAACAGGAGTTTCTGTCCCCTTGGGATAGGAGAGACTATATCACAATAAATAGCTTGAAGAAAAGCACAGTAGGATATAGCAAGTAGTGCTAGAGGGAGGTAGTACATGTATTTTTATATGAGCCATTTTTTAATTCTTCCCATATGTTTTAAGAATTGAAACCGTTAGCTTAAATTCAGAGCCTTGGGCTTTCTACCGTTTGAGCTACACTGGTTCTAGGGTGAACTCAAAGCCTGCTGCTGTACTTGCGCTTCCCCTCTCCCCCAGTTGTGGGGCTTGAATTCTGGGCCTGGGTGTTCTCCCTGAACTTTTTTGCTCTAAGTTAGCATTCTACCACTTTGAGCCACAACTTCTACTTCCCATTTTCTGCTGGTTAATTGGAGATAAGATCTCACAGACTTTCCTGTCTGGGTTGGCATCAAGCTGCGATCCTCAGATCTCAGCCTCCTGAGTAGCTATAACAGGTGTGAGCTCTGGGCACCCGGCTCCTCCTTTTTTACTGAAGATGGAAGGACATTAGCTTGGGGCTAGTGGTATTGGGTTTGTGTCTAATGTTACTTCTAGTATCTTTGTCTTTATTTATTTTTTTTTTTTGAGGCTGGATCCTGCTGTTATATTGCCCAGGCTGGTCTTAAACTATTGAGTTCACGAGACCCTCCCACGTTAACATCTCAACTGCTGAGATTACTTGAGTACACCACCATGCCTGGCTTTTTCCTCTTGTTCTACTGGTGTCAGATTTCCATAACTGACACGGTACCTAACACTGGTTTTAACTTAAGATTGCAGCCTTTGGTTCTTTTTCCATCTTTTTGTACTGTGCATGGGTGACACATTCATTGTGGCAGAGGAGAGTATTTGCCTCATGGTAGCAGAAAAGCAAAGAGAAAGGCAGGAAGGGGCAGAATCAAGAGCATGTCTTCTGTGTCCTAATGTTCTCCCACTGGGCCCCACTGCCCACTAGTGCCACAAGCAGAACACCAAACTTTCCACACATGGGTCTTTGCAGGGCATTCAAGGTCTGAGTCAGAGTAATACCTTACTTAAAGGTAATGCCTACAAGACAGACTTTCTAGAAGTTCCTGCAGGTTACTCTCTCTGCAGTCCAAAAATGTTGCTAAGTTTAAACTGCTTCCCTTTCCCCTGACTTAATTGTTTTGTCGGAGTCCTGGCTCTCCACTATTGGGTGCATTGGCCAGTCCTCCAGCATAGCCAGTGTGCCATGCCCCTGGCTCACCCTGGCTGTTTCTCTCCTAGCACACACTCACCGGACACAGTGGGAAAGTGCTTTCTGCTAAGTTCCTGCTGGACAATGCACGGATTGTCTCGGGAAGTCATGACCGGACCCTCAAACTCTGGGATCTACGCAGCAAAGTCTGTGAGGAAATTCAGTCTCTGCCTTTGTGTTTGCATACTCATTAGCTGTGAAGTTGTTCTTTCCACTTCAGCTTGTTGCATGTGATAGTTTGAATTTGGGTTCAGTCACTCAGGTGCTGAGGGTGTAGCTTTCTTGCTTGAGGTTGCATTTAGATTTGCAATTTGGATAGTTCGGTAGTTAGAGAGTAGCACTGCTCTACACAGCCACGTGGGTGCCTCTGCTGGACTAGTGATGTTTGATTTTCTTTCAGGCATCAAGACGGTGTTTGCAGGGTCCAGTTGCAACGATATTGTCTGCACAGAACAATGTGTAATGAGCGGACATTTTGATAAGAAAATTCGTTTCTGGGACATCCGGTATGACATTCTAGAGCTTGGTAGGGATGCAGGGGAATCTATACATAGAACAATGATGATACTTTTTCTTTTTTAGTTTTTGGTCAGTCATGGGCTTGAACTCTGAACCTGGGAGCTGTCCCTCAGCTCTTTAGCTCAAGGCTAGCACTCTACCACTTGAGCCACAGTGCCACTTCAGTATTCTGGTGGTTCATTGGAGATAAGAGTCTTATGGACTTTCCTGCCCAGGCAGGCTTTGAACTCCAGTCCTCAGATCTCAGCCTTCTGAGTAGCCAGGATTACAGGAGTGAGCCACCAGCACCCAGCTTGATGATATTTTTATGTGGGTTGGTTTTTAAGTCTGAGGCAATGTCAAGAATGATCCAGGGCACCTGTATTTTGACAGTGAGCTTTTTGTTCTGAATCACATTTAGACTGTGGAGAGTTCACCATCATTTACTGTCCTTACATTTTGGCCATAGACTACTAGCTGCTAGGTAGGCAAAGATGATACTTGCCCTACCTTTAGAGTATTTAAAATAAAACAAGGCTAGTCTGAAGAAGGGAGCAGGGCTAGGGATCTAACCAAGGAGGAGTGTCCAGAAGTATAAAGAAATCGGGCCAGTCTTGTTGCTGTGCCAATGTTGGGAGGAGTAGAGCTGTCAGAAGCAAGAAAAGTCCTTTAAAACCAAGTGGTAAGGAGGCACATATAGAGGACTAATGATTTGGTTGAATGAACAGCTGATGTCACACCCGGGTAGATGGCCCTAGGGTAGAGGGGTGTGTGTGTGAAGGACCTGTGGTTTCTAGTGCTGCTCTGAAATGCAGCTTAGTGCCAGGAAAGCCTAACAAGGCTAGCTGCCTTCTCTTCCTCCTTGTTTGAACTCAGAGCTTTGAACTTGCTACAGAAAGCTCTTCTACTCTGCTATACCTATACCTCCAGTCCTTTTTTGCACTGATTATTTTAAGATTGGGTCTTGCTTTTGCCCAGGCATGTACTTGAACCTCCATACTCCTATTTTAGGTCTCTTGCCACAGCTAGAATGACAGGCATGTGCTGTCATGCTCCACTTCTTCCACTGAGATAGAACCTTGTGAACATTTTTGCCTGTGTTGGCCTGGAACCATGATCTTAGCTGCCAGAGTAGATAGGATTATAGGTGTGAGCCACTGAACCTGACTTGGAATAAAGAAGTTTAGAGTTGAAGGAAGGTGTTACAAGTCCATCCCATATTTGAGGACCCCCAAGTCTGTGTTTAGTGACAGTGATACAGACTGCTTTGTTAAAGTAGAAAGTTTATTGAAAACTTAGAGCAAAATCACTATTGGAGAGGTCAAGACCTTTGGCTGTGTTATCAGTGTGGCCCTGCCTATCCAGAAGGCTGTTAGCTGACCTGTATGGGCTGAAGCTGCAGGGAATCGGAAACACCAAGGAACTAGCAGCCCTACTGACATCGGGAGGCTGGAGCTGAGCTAAGGATGACAGGCCGCTTGGGCCTCTCCAGACCCACTAAGACAAATTCTGTGCCATTCCTATCCAAAACTTGAAATGGTGTCTTTGAAGTAATAATTGGGGCTCGATACATAGCTCAGTGGTAGAGCATGTAATTAGTTAGCATGTCCATGAGGCCTTAAGCTCTTCTACAGCAAAGAAGTAATGCTAATTGTGTGGTGGCCTTCGTATCCACTTCAGAACTTCTGATGGCAAGAAGATTCAGAGTTGTTTTCAGAACTGTAGGCCTATTGATAGAGAGATGGTAAGAGGTGCCACCATGCTTACCACCCTTGGAAACGGTCTTCTTGGCTGGCAGCAGTTCATGACACTATCCTAGTTAAAGTGGGGACATTTTGACCTTTTCCCTGCTAGGCTTTTCAGCTTTTTCATCTCTTAGATCAGAAAGTGTGGTCCGGGAGATGGAACTGTTGGGGAAAATCACTGCCTTGGATTTAAACCCAGAGAGGACAGAGCTCCTGAGCTGCTCCCGGGATGACCTGCTAAAAATCATTGATCTCCGGACAAATGCTGTGAAACAGACATTCAGGTAACTGGGTGCAGGAGGCTCCTGCCTGGCCCCACCCACTGCTGTCCCGGGGGAGTGCCCTGAGTGACGGGTCTGTGCTGTGTTTTTCAGTGCCCCTGGATTCAAGTGCGGCTCTGACTGGACCCGAGTTGTCTTCAGGTTGGTAGCCACCCCCTACTTCCAACTTGCTCAGGTTATCTCCCCCTTAGGGAAGCTAAAGTTTACCTACAAAGCATCCAGGAGTGAACCTAAAGGTCATGCTTGAGGTCCCAGCAGTGTGCCTTCCAGTGTTCGTCATTAATGAACGTAAATGCATTGCACCAAAAATAATGGCTGGTTGCTTGGTTCTGGATGAGCCATCAGGTTTCCCTCTCCTCCTTTCTCCTGCCATGTACTGATTTCTCCCAGTGTATTTCAGCATCAGCTCACATGCCTTGGAGAAAGGGCCTCATATGACGTCTCCTTTTCCATTCTACATTCATTGGGCCAGGGACCGTGCTAGTTTATCACAGTCTCCACACATTTGGAGGTTTGCTTGACTTCCTCTGTGTCTTGGACACTGCATTACCTCTTGGACCTTAGGGATAGTGAGTTAGGGGCAGGTTTCCATAGCTTTTGTTCTTTGTCCGTTTCCTGTAGTCCTGATGGCGGTTATGTGGCAGCAGGCTCGGCTGAAGGCTCGCTCTATGTCTGGAATGTGCTCACAGGGAAGGTGGAGAAGGTGCTTTCTAAACAACACAGGTGAGTTGACTTCTATCGGCACTCACAACCACACACCTCAAAGTGGTGAGCAGGGCCTAGTGTTCATCAGGCTCAAACCTCCAGGGGCTCCTTGAGGGCAGCACCTGCACTTTGCTGGGCTGGGTGAGTAAGGCCTTTGGAGACAGCAGCTGGTAATGCCTGCAGATAGATAGCTCCAGGTAGAGCCAGTGAATAGAAGAGGTCAGAGGAACTGCTTCCCTGCCCTTCCTTATCCATTTCTGTTCTCTCCTCCATCCCTTTCCTCTCTGAGCCTCCCTTTTTGCCAGAAAATTGACAAGTTCTAAACACTGGTTATTGTACACCTCCTTTACCTCCTACCTGGCAGGCAGCTCCTGGCCTTTTTCCGCAGCTTGTTCTGTGCACCCAAGTCTACCTGCTAGTTTAAAAAACATAGGTTTTGGGGTTTTTTTTTTTTTTGTTTTTTCCTGGAAGCTGCAGGTCCTCACTGCCCTCAGGCAGCAGCCCAGCCACAGCTTAGAATTTCCCTGTGCCTGATCCCAGGGCTCTGCCAGCTGCTAACGCCACGCTCCCTTTAGTCTGACCCTGCTTAATGAAAGTCTCTCCACCATCAGTCCCTGCTGTTGGGTAGGCACAGCTGGGCTCCACATACCTGGGGTGAGGGGCATGGCTGGTTGAGGTCTCAACATGAATACTTGGAAATTGAAATTGATGTCCTCTGCTCTCCCTGCAGCTCCTCCATCAACGCAGTGGCCTGGGCCCCCTCCGGCTTGCACGTCATCAGTGTGGATAAAGGCAGCAAAGCTGTGCTGTGGGCACAACCCTGAGGGCACCGAGGAGCTGCCTGTGGGCTCCCTCCGCCCCTCCTGGTGAGCAGCATGGCCTCCTCGCGAAGAGCTCCAGCTTCGTGGCATGGGAGCCTTATTTTGAATAGCAGTCCTGAGAACTTTTTGAGGTCTCTAATGGCCAAAGAATCAACACCTAACTCTGCCTCACTGGGCAGAGGTTCAGGTTCTTCGATTCAATTTGATCCGTGTGGAAACACTACTAGCTTTGATCTTCCATACCTCATTGGGGAGCACAGGACCCCCTGCTGGATCCCCCCACTGCCAGTCACACCCCCACCACAGTAGGGTGTTGGTTCCCCTGTGCTGCTCCCATCCTTCCAAAGGGGGGTCTGGACTATTGCACAACACAGCCCCTTGCTTGGGATCCTCTGCCAGTGGACTTGCTGTAAGCATTTGTTTAGTGGAGATGCCAAATACAAGCCTGTTGTGATGCTGGAGGCGCTGACGTTGCAGGACTGCCTGCGATCCAATCCTGTCTTACTACTGCTGAAGCTTGTCTAAGAGTTTCTGGGTCTTCTTCCAGCACTTCCGTATATCTGTTTCTTGGGCTAGAAATTGATCTGTTTGGTTTAAATTTTTCTGAGAAGACAGTTGCCAACCTTTCCCAGTTGAGTTATATAATATGGCTTGTACCACTGTACACTTGTGCTTCAACAGGATTGGAGATGGGCTGGCAGTGGGGATTCTGGCCACTGCTCTCTACCAGGTCCGTGTTCAGTGACCCCATGTTTGATGCAAGAAATGAGATGAAGCCTGGAGGAAAAAGTTAATCTTTTTACCTGTCTGAAAAACTATGATGTTTCAAATTTTAATTTGCACTTTATTTTTTTCTGCCACACTTGGCCTCTGGACAGACAGGGGCCTGAGGCCTTCAGTGGGATGAGAGGTGAGGTTGAAGCAGCCTTTCCTCTGCCTGGGGCTTTGTCTCCATCCTTCTTCTCTGCATGCTCCTCACTTTCTCGTTTGCTGTCCAGATAACTTGTGTGCAAGGAGGATTGGAACTCAAAGGCCATGGCACATCTTTTATTTATTTAATTATGTGGCCCAACAGAACTTGATTATAAATTAAAAAAATCTTGTTATATACTTTTCAAATTCCTGTGTCTTTGTTATTTCTGTTTTTATCCATAAGAGTGAAGGAACTGCCAGGCGCCAGTGGCTCACGCCTGTACCATGAGTCTCTTCTCTCCAATAAACTACTCAGAAAACCAGAAGTGGCACTGTGGTAGAGCATTGAGCTAAAGAGCTGAGGGACAGGGCCCAGGCCCAGAGTTCAAGCCCCTTGACTGATTTTAAAAATTAAAAAGAAGGGACTAGTTTTTCTGGTATTCAGTCTTTCTGAATAATGGATAGTTCTCTCCTAGCATAAGAGATCATGCCCTGGGAATACCAGCATTCCAGTCTTCCATCCTGTATAATATTGGCTATCCCCGGGGAAGTTTTTCAGAGCTTTGTTAGCTGTGGTGTGTCTGTCACCCCTGCGCCCCACAGGGACATTAGCCCTTGGTTTATATGAGCCACTGTGGCCCCTTTGGGCCTCTAATACATCAGTTAAGGCCTGAGCCTAACTACCTCACCGCCTGGAAGAAACAGCCATACAGCATAGGCTCATGGCTTGAGATGCGATCCCATCATGCTCTGGTATCTGAGGCAAGCGTGCTTATAAGGAAAAGAATGACCCATGCAGTTGCGTAATTTGTGCCTGGGGTTTGAACTCCAGGGACAGTGCCTGGCCACTGTCCCTTAGCTAGTATTCTACCACTTAAGCTATAGCTCTACTTTCAGCTTTTGGGGGATAGGGTGGGTTGATTTGAGATAAGAGTTTCATGGAATTTACTGCCTCAGCTAGCTTCAAACCACATTCCTCAGCTCTTAGCCTCCCAAGTAGCTGAGATTATGGGCATGAGCCATTGGTGCCCAGCAACAAACATTTTCAGTGGTTTTGAGTCAGAGTCTTGCTACGTAGCATCTCTGGCTTACCTGGGACTCCCAGTCCTGCCTCTGTCTCCTCACCTTAATGTTTCTGTTGTAATGATCTTAAGAAAACAATGTGATCATCACAAAACAACAGTGAGTTAAAAGTCTACTGATACCACACAGATAGCTGTGGCTCACACCTGTAATCCTAGCTATTCAAGAGGCTGGGAAATGAGGGTCACAGTTGGGAGCAGCCCAGGCAGGAAAGTCTGATTCATGAGAATATAATGTCCAATTAACCAAAAACTGGAAGCTGGGTGCCGGTGGCTCACGCCTGTAATCCTAGCTACTCAGGAGGCTGAGATCTGAGGATCTCAGTTCAAAGCCACCCTGGGCAGGAAAGTCTGTGAAACCCTTATCTCCATTAAACGACTCAGAAAATCAGAAGTGGCACAGTGGCTCAAATGGTAGTGCACTAGCCTTGAGCTGAAGAGCTGAGGGACAGTGCCCAGGCCCAGAGTTCAAGCCCCAGGACGAACCAAAATGGAAGCAGAGCAGTGACACATGGTAAAGCCCTAACTTGAGCAAAAAGGCTAAAGACAGTGCCCAAACCCTCAGTTCAAGTACCAAACTGGCAAAAAGTAAAGGCGTAAATACCTAATACTTTCCAGGTATATGGCTATGTACAACCTTTGTAGTTCAGTATCTACCATTCTGGTTCAGTAATTTTCCTCTAACCACATCCATACTTTCCCAAAAGGAAGTAGTAGCCTTTGCACTTTATTTGTCCAATGAATATCCAGTCTGGAACCACCTGGTATGTCCAGATGTTGAGTCTCCTAAGTGTTCCTTTTCAGTGAATTGACTTAGGCAAGACACCAAGTGGTTCTGATCTTTGTTCCTCTGTTTTCTGGAGCAAGAAGTGGGTGGATTCAGGTTACTGCAGGAAGAACACCCCACAGGGAACTGATGCATTTTACCATTCCAAGGTTCTCCATTGGCTCTGTAGTCACCTAAAGCTTTTAACACCAGTGAATAATAATTGTGTTTTAAGTTTACTGTTTTTTATGTATGACACAAAGGATCAGGAGGTGAAATCCTGTTATAAAGGCAGTTTGTCACCCAGTTTCCTAGAGGGGCATGGCCTGTCGCTCAGAGCAGCAGGAGTGGCACTAGGATTTGTTAGGGGTGTGAAAAGAATTTCTTAGAGTTGACATGGGAAGAAGTCAGCAGGCCAGGTGCCCAGGTTAGGATGAGCTAGTAGGGATAGTTTGAGCAGGCTCTAGAGAGTAGGGAATTGCTCTACCTGAGGTGACCAGGACAGGATAAGAGTGACCTGAAGGTTGTATGCCTCAAGTTGTAAAGTGCCTGCCTAGCAAGTATGAGGCTGTGAGTTCAAACCTCTGTTCTGCCTAAAAAACAATTCAAGAAGCTGGGTGCCAGTGGCTCACTCCTGTAATCCTAGCTACTCAGGAGGCTGAGATCTGACGATCATGGTTCAAAGCCAGCCTGGGAAGAAAAGTTCCTGTTATCTCCAATTAAACACCATAAAGCCCAAAGTAGTGCTGTGGCTCAAGTGGTAGAGCTGAAGAGCTCAGAGTCAGTGCCCAGGCCCAAAGTTCAAGCCCTATGACCAACAACAACAACAAAAAGAAGAATTTAAGAACATAATGGGTCACAAATGCTTGAAATTGCTCAGTACTTGTGTTAAGTTTTGGCTGGGTGGAGAGCGGTAGCCTATCATGGTAAACTCAAGGGCAGTGCCCACACCCGAGTTCAAAGCTCTGAATCAGCACACAAAAACGAAAAGTGACTGGGCCTGGTAGTATATAACTGTGACACCTTAGATGCTAAGATAGGAGAATCATGAATTCAAGGCCAGTCTGGACTATGTCTCAAGTAAGTATAGAATTAAAAAGCCTTTTTCTTAGAAATAAGCATTAATTTTAAGTAAAACTAAAAATCATCTGTTGATATACTGTTGTGATCCAATGACTTCAACTCACCTTGAGTATATTGAAGTCTTTGTTCTGCAGAGATGACAGGTACAAAACATCACATTCCTGGAACCTACATTCCAGAAAGGTACAAGAGATAGGCAATAAACTCTGTTAGATGACAAATACAATAAAAGAATACAGGGAAGAAATGTTTAATGAGTTGATCATGTACCTATCTTTTTTTTTTGCCAGTCATGGGGCCTAAACTGGGCCTGTCCCTCAGCTCTTCAGCTCAAGGTTACCCCTCTACCACTTGAGTGCCATAGCACTACTTCCGGCTTTTTCTGCTTATGTGGTGCTGAGGAATCGAACCCAGGGCCTCATGCATTCAAGGCAAGCACTCTACCACTGAGCCACCTTCCCAGCCCCTCACGTACCTATCTTGGGCAGAGGAAACAGCAAGTGGAAAGGCCCTGGGTTAAGCTTAAAGAGGCCAGTGGACTTGAACAAAATGGGTGAGGAAGAGAGCAATAAGAAATAGGTCATAAGTAATGGGTCTGATCATGCAGAATCTGGCAGATATCCAGAGCAAGATAGAAGTCACTGGTTTCTTCCACCCCCTCCCCACCTCGTGGGGCTTGAACTGTGGGCTGGGCCCTGACTCTGAGCTCCTCAGCTCAAGGCTAGCAGCTAGCGCTCTACCACTTGAGCCACAGCACCACTTCCCAGTTTTCTGGTGGTTTGTTGGCGGTAAGAGTCTCACAGACTTTCCTGCCCTGCCCAGGCTGGCTTTGAATTGCTATCCTCAGATCTCAGCCTCCTGAGTAGTGAATTACAGGCTTGGATCACAGCACCTAGCTATAGTCACTGGTGTTTGGATAGGTGCTGACACCTCGACCACAACCAGCCTTCCAGTTATATTGCTTTATTCTGATTGCAGATAAGACCACAACAGAAGTAGGTTAGTGGCCACGGTGCCCTATCCATTCATTCCATGAGTGTTTGTGAGAGCACATAACTTCTCCCCTAGAAAGTGAGAGGAATAATGTCTCCAGTGCTCCACCTCATGGAGTTTTTAGTCAAAGCACAAGAGACCAAGTGGAAGTGAGAGGGAGGTCACTGCATCCAGCTTGGACCTGGAGGTGATTCTTGGTCAGCCTCCGAATGGCTGAGTAGAGTGGGAAGTGGAGAGAGTTCTGGGGTCACAGGCAGTGGGAGCCATAGGCAGTAACTGAAAGCAGGTGGGACTTGTGTGTGCTTGAAGTGTTGCTGCGCCTAAGAGCAGTAATGTGGTTTGGATGGTGGCCTTGCTGAGGTGCCACCCATGGTTCTTGGTGTCTCAAAGAACTGAGCGAAATAGAGCTGAATAAAAAGAAAAGCAGAGGTTTATTGAAGTGAAACATGTAAAGAGAGTGGAGCAAGAATATGCATCAGCATGGACTAGGAAGGATGCTCAGTGGTAGAGTGCTTGCCTCATGCATGAGGCCCTGGGTTCAATTCTTCAGCACCACATAAGCAGAAAAAGCCAGAAGTGGTGCTGTGGCTCAAGTGGTAGAGGGCTAATCTTGAGCTGAAGAACTGAGGGACAGTGCCCAGGCCCAGAGTTCATGCCCACAACCGACAAAAAAAAAAAAGCATCAGCATCACAACTGGGCACATACCTGTAAGCCTAGCTACTCAGGAGGCTGAGATCTGCAGATCCTTAGTTCAAGGCCAGCTTGGGCAGGGAAGTCCAGGAGACTCCTCTCCAGTTGACCACCAGAGTACTGGAAGTGAAGCTGTGGCTCAAAGTGATAGAGCACTAGTCTTGAGTAAAAAGAGCTCAGGGACAGCACCCAGGCCCTGTGTTCATGCCCTACAACTGACCAAAAAAAAAAAAAAACAGTACCCCAAAAACAAAGAATATGTACTACATTGTGGAAGCAATGTCTGAGCAAATGAGCTGCAAGATCCCGAGGAACTAGTGAAGTGCCATGTGTGGTTGGTTTGAGTTGAGAGGCAGGCACTTGATGACGGACAGCTTTTGAGTGACATGTGATGACGGAACAGTTTCCCAACTGTGCCTGTCCATTCCCACCGCATCCTGTTATATTAATGGTACACGGTGCACAGGCCTTAGAGGATTCCCCTGAAGTTCACTTAAGGACGGCTTCCCTTGGGCACTGCGGCTGCACCCCTTGAGGGAAATTTCGTTTTGCTGAGCTAGCGTCCTTGCTGTCAGGATGA